CAAGTGATTTTTCTGCCTTAGCCTCCCGAGTAGCTAAGACTACAGGCATGAGTCACCACGCCTGGCTAATTTTGTATTTTTAATAGAGACAAGGTTTCCACATGTTGGTCGGGCTGGTCTTGAACTCTTGACCTCAGGTGATCCGCCTGCTTCAGCCTCCCTAAGCGCTGGAATTACAGGTGTGAGTCACCATGCCTGACCAAGAGTTCTTTATACATTCTGGATCCGAGTCCCTTATCAGGTAAATAATTTGCAAATATTTTCTCTCATTCTGTAGGCTGACTTTTCATTTTCTTGATTATGCTCTTTGAAGCATAAACACTTTTTTTTCTTTTAATTTTGATGAAATCTAATTTGTCTATTTTTGTTTTCATGGCGTGTGTTTTTGGTGTCATATCTGAGAAATCTTCGTTAATCCAAGGTCATGAAGATTAACTGCTATATGTTTTTATGAGTTTTATAGTTTTTCTGCTTATATTTGAACTTTTGATCAATTTTTAGTAAATTTTTATATATTTTAGTGATCAAATGGTCGAACTTCATCCATTTGCATGTTGATATCCAGCTGTTTCAGTTTGTGGGACAGGCTAATTTTCTCATGTAATTGTCTTAGCACTTTGCTCAAAAATCAATTAATCATAAATGTGAGGGCTAATTTCTGACTTACAATTCTATTTCATTGATCTACTCCATGTCTATACTTAGGTCAGTTATACACAGTCTGGGTTACTGTAGCTTTGTGGCAAGTTTAAAAATAAGGAAGTATGAGTTCTCCAACTTTGTTTTTTTTAAAGGTTATTTTAGCTATTTTCTGTCACTTGAATTTCCATATGAATTTTTGGTTGATTTCCACAAAAACACCAACTGGGACACTGAAAGGGATCATGTTGAATCAGTAGATCAAAATGGGTACTATTCCCATGATAACATTATTGTGTCTTTCAATCCATGAATATAGGATATCTTTCCCCTTTGTTTTAATATTTTAAAATTTCTTTCAACAATGTTCAATAGTTTCCAGAGAATAATTTTTACACTGCTGGTAATTTGTTCGTAAACACTTTATTCTTTTTGATTTTATCATAAATACAATTATTTTCTCGATTTCAAGAATAAGTTTTGGATTCATTTTAAACATTTTTGTAACCATATGTTTCACTACTTAATTCTCAAGAAAAGCTTAAGATGATTATTTTTTTTAATGTGCTCTCTTCATTTTTACTCTATATTATGGAAGACTGCTCTTTGAAGGAAAGAACTATATAAAAGCATAGAACATGAGGGCTGAGACTATCCCAAGTAAGAGGTGAAGAAAAAGAAGTGTACAGAGGCTGCACAACTGTCCTGAGTCAGGGCAAACAGCCGAGCCTGACCCACTGGCTTTCTAGCCTTGTGCTGTTTCACTAAGCCACAGTGTGATGAAGGAGGAATCTCTCCTGTGATAAGATGACCTAAGTGTTTGTGAAATATAGCACTTGTGGATAATGGAACCCCCTTAATTAATTTAAATACATACTTGATTTATAAAAGCTTTGAACTGTAAGAATTCTAGTTAGAAAGAGGACTAAAAAAAGTTGGCTCAGTGAATGGAAAGAAGGCCAGCTCTGTGAGTAACTAGCTGTGATATCTTACGCAAACCATTTAGCAACTCTGAAGTCACAGCCTCCTCTGTGCACTACTTGCATATTGATATCTGCCATGCCAAATCACTGGGAACACTAATGTAGATGAAATAGCATTTCTCACAGAAATGTAAGAAATATCACCGTGTCTTTGTTTGTAAAATCAGGATAGTAATAGTACCTAACATATGATATTTAAAGGAGAACATCCAGGTTTTATGGTTATCGGTAAGTACTCAATAACTGCTAGCCATTATTATAATTATTATTTTAAAACGTTATTAGTATCTATAACTAGTCTCAATGAAAAGTTAAGATTTCTTAGTTCTTTTATTAATAGATGACTACATCTCTTAATTTTCTATTTTGAAAGTCTGAGATTGAGAAAAAATAAACAGCCATTACCAAAAGCAGGCATGTAGATCTACAGAGGAAGAAATAATAAACATTTCTTGAATGATTTTGGCTTTCAATATTAACTCACTAACCTAGGAAAGAGACTGCAAATAAATGTATATCCATAAGACAGAGAGCAACTAAGGTTTGTAGTCTAAACTCTACTTTGATTGAGTTTTGCTAGCATTGATAGAATGAGAAGAAAAGAACTTCTGCTCAAGCAATACAGTTGACAACAAAAACTGCCACATTAAAAAACCCAAATATGTGCTAGGGACAATATTACTATTCTATTTTGTTAAATACAAAGCTGAGCCTCAAAGAAATAAAAGAAAATCCCCAGGTGAAAGGGGATCTCCAGAACACAGAACACAGATCATAGGTGGGCACTGAGGACTCTGGGCTGGGAGTAAAAATGGAAGGCCATCTCATGCCCTGGAAACAGGTTCAGCTTTAATATCTAGCTGTGACAAAGGACAAAATTTTCAGGGTAGATTACTAGAACTGTGTCTAACATACTACGTTAGTTATGTATAATTCTGCTTGCTACTTTTGTTAGTGCTGTTACCCTAAGCAAGTGTTTTAAGTTCTCAGTTCTCTTACCAATAAAATGCAATCATAATCCACACTAAGAATAAAATATCATGCTACAGTAAGCAGTGAAGCAAGGCTCAATGTGAGCAGTAGCAAGAGGGCCAGCAAGCCTTCGTGAACTCTAAGACCATCCCTGAAATAGTGCATTGAGATTTGGAGGTTAAGACTACTTAGGAAAGCTCAGTCCCTCCATGAACCTAGGGAATGTGAAGCCCATGAATTTTACCAGTGGCAGACACCAGGCATAGCCAGACCTGGGACTAGTCCCACCTCCTCTGTGGCCACAAGGCAAGGGAATAGCTAAGACCAGCAAGTCATCAGCTGAGCCCAGGAAGAATTCAGAATGTATCACAAATACCTGAAGACACCACCTGCCCCTTTTTCAACACCAGATCAAATAAGCCATAACTACATCCCATATAGAGCCATATGCCACACAAAGACTTTTAGGTCAAGCATGGACTGCTTATATGACAGTGGTCCTATAAAATTACAATAGAGGCTAGACACAGTGGGTCACGCTTGTAATCTAACACTTTGGGAGGCTGAGGCAGGTGGATCACCTGAGGTCGGGAGTTTTAGACTAACCGGACCAACGTGGTGAAACCCTATCTCTATAAAAAAATACAAAAATTAGCTGGGTGTGGTGGTGCACACCTGTAGTGCCAGCTGCTTGGGAGGCTGAGGCACAAGAATCGCTTGAACCCAGGAGGCAGGGGTTGCAGTGAGTTGAAATCGCCCCACTGAATTCCAGCCTGGATGACAGAGTGAGGCTCCGCCTCAAAAAAAAAAAAAAATTACAATAGAGCTGCATGATACAAGAATATCATTTTTTGTCATTTATATGGTATTTTTACTGTACCTTTTCTATGTTTCAATACACGAATACTAAGCATTGTGTTGCAACTCTACACTGCTCAGGAATCTGCTGTCCAGGTTTGTAGCCTAGCAACAATACGTTTGCAGTAGGATATGCCATCCAGGTTTGTGTTGGTGCAATCTACAACATTAATACAATGACATCTCATAAGGATGTATTTCTCAGAACGAATCCCTGTGGTTCAGTGACACATGACTGTAGCTAGATGCCATCCCAAAGAGAAACAAGAAGAGAAAGCATACCTAGAAAAAAGCTTCAACATTCTGTTATACTAATAGCAGACACTGAACTTTCTTTTAAATTTTAATTTGTTCTTTTCTAAAAACCTGTATAAATTAACTGTTAAGGACTGCATTAGTTTTCTATGGCTGCCATAACAAACTCCCATACACTGGGTGGCTCTAAACAACCAAAATTTCCTCTCTCACAGTTCTAGATGCTGGAAGGCTAATGTTCAACAGGGCCACACTCCTTCCAGAATATCTAGAAGAGAACCCTGATGCTGTCTCAGTATACAATGACATTCCTTGGTTTGTGGTCCAATCTCTGCCACCATATTTATACTGCTTTCTCTAATGTGTGTCTGTGTCTCTACCTCTTCTTTTATGATATGGACACTTGTCACTGGATTTAGGGCCCACCTTGGTAATTCAAAATAATATCTTCATCTCAAGATCCTTAACTAATTATAACTGCAAAGACCTCATTTCCAAATGAGGTCACCTTCATAGGTTCAGAAATTATGATATGGACATATCTTTCTGGTGGCTGCCACCCAACCCACTATAGGAACAAATGTTTAGAATATTTGAGATATACGCTCTTCCCTGTAAAACCAGCACACTGGGAGGTGGAAGGATCACTTGAGCCAAGGAGTTTGAGATCAGCCTGGGCAACATAGCGAGACCCCTTCTCTACTAAATTAAAGAAAAAAAAAAGGACTACTCTGAGGGGGACTTCTGCCAAGATGGCCAAATAGTAACAGCTCCAGAGCACAGTTCCCAGCGAGAGCAACACAGAAGGCGAGCGATCTCCGCATTTCCAACCGAGGTAGCAGGTTCAACTCAATAGGACTAGTTGGATAGTGGGTATAGCCCAGGAGGGCAAACCGAGGCAGGTTGGAGTGCCTACTCACCTGGGAAGTGCAATGGGTCAAAGGACCACCCCTCCTACCCAACAGAGGCCACTGGGGACTTTTTCCAGACACTCCGGCATTCTGGCTCAGATATTGCACTTCTCCCATGGTCTTACTGATCACAGACCAGGAGATTCCCACCAGGGCTAATAAGCCAGTGGGTGTCCAACACCCTGGGTGGCCCTTATAGCTTGAGCCTGGAAAGCCTGCAAGACAGAGCCACCCATTCCCCGGAAAAAAGGGGGGCTGAAGGCAGGGAAGCAAGTTATCTGGCCTGGTGGGTCCCACCCCTACAAAGACCAGCAAACTGAAATCCACTGGCTTAACATTTCCCCAGCCAGCAAAGCAGTTTGAGCTTGACCTGGGATGGTCGAGCTCAGCGGGGAGAGGGGCGTCTACTATCACCACCGAGGCAGTTGGCCATTACCAAGGGAGTCTGCCATGACCTAGGCAGCTCTAAACTTGCTTGTGCAAACAAAATTGCAAGGAAGTTTACAAAACAGCAGGGTGGAGCCTGCGGCAGCTCAGCAATGCCTCTGCAGGCAGACTGTGGCTAGACTCCCTCCTTGCTGGCAGGGCATCTCTGAAAAAAGGCAGGAGGCTGTCAGAAACTTATAAATAACCCCCTCCCCCACCCCCCACCTTGGACAGAACACCCAGAAAAAGGGGTGGTTGTGAGTTCTGCTGAAGCAGACTGAAATGTCATTGCCCAGCAGCTCTGAAGGAAGCAACGAAGCTCCCAGCACAGCACTTGAGCTCTGATAAGGGACAGACTGCCTCCTCAAGTGGCTCCCTGACCCACCTATATCCAAAGAAGACACCTGATACAGGAGGCCTCTGGCTGACATCTGGAAGGTATCATTCTGGGATGAAGCTACCAGAGGAAGGAACAGGCAGCAATCCGAGCTGTTCTGCAGCCCCTGCAGGTGATTCCCAGGCAAGAAGGGTCAGAAGTTGACCTCCAGCAGTCCTGCGGCAAAGGGGACTGACTGTTAGAAGAAAAACTAAAAAACAAAAAGAAATAGCTTCAACATCAACAGAAAGGATGTCCACTCAGAGACCCCTTCTGAAAGTCACCAACCTCAAAGACTAGAGGTAGATAAATACACAAAGATGAGAAGAAAACAGCACAAAAAGGTTGAAATCACTAAAGACCAGAACGCTTCTCCTCACTAGTAAGGGAACAAAACTGGATGGAGAATCAGTATGACAAATTGACAGAAGCAGGCCTCAGAAGGTGGGTAATAACAAACTTCTCTGAGCCAAAGGAACATGTGATAACCCAATGCAAAGAAACAAAGAACTCTGAAACAAGATCAGACAAAATGCAAACTAGTAAAACCAACTTAGAGAACAACATAAACAATTTGATGGAGCTGAAAAACATAATACAAGAACTTCGTGAAGCATACACAACTTTCAACAGCCAAATCAATTAAGCAGAAGAAAAACTATCAGAGATTGAAGATCTATATGAAGATCTATGAAGAACTCAATAAAATAAAACAAAACAAGAAGGCAAGATTAGAGAAAAAAACAGTGAAAAGAAATGAAAAAAGCCTCCAAAAAATATGGGATTATGTGAAAACATCTAATCTACTTTTGATCAGTGTACCTGAATCTGATAGGGAGAATAAATCCAAACTGGAAAACACTCTTCAGGGTATTATTCAGGAGACCTTCTTCAACCTAGCAGGGCAGGCCAACATTCAAATACAGGAAATACAGAGAACACCACAAAGATATTCCTCAATAAGAACAACCCCAAGGCACATAACTGTCAGATTTACCAAGGTTGAGATGAAGGAAAAAATGTTAAGGGTAGCAAGAGAGAAAGGTAGGGTTACTCACATAGGGAAGCCCATCAGACTCACAGTGGATCTCTCAGCAGAAACCCTACAAGTCAGAAGAGAGTGGGGGCCAGAGAGATCCAAGATAGCCAATTAGGAGCAGCTCAGGATTGCAGCTCCCAGTGAAAGTGCAGAGAGTGAGTGGACACTGAATTTCCAGATGAATTTTTAGTGCCCACAGACCAGGAGATTCCCAGGCGGAGAAGCCCCATGGGCTACCAGCGTGACTCTTTTGGCCTGTGCGGCTGTTTTGCCGGTGCTCAGGTGCGGCAGTTCTCAATACAAAATATACGGGACTGGGTACCCTTTTAGCTGGCGAATGGAGCTCCGGGAAGGCAGAGTAGCCCATTCAGCTGATTAAAAAGGGGACTGAAACAGTGAGCCAGGCCAGGAGATTCCTGGGCAAAAAAGTGCCATGAATCTCAGCGCCACTGTTTCAGTCGGCGCAGTGGGTCGCCGCACATGAAATCACACAGCAGTTCTGAATGAACAACGGAGCCCACAGCTCAGTACTTGAGCTCCTATAAAGGACAGACTGTCTCCTCAAGCAGCTCCTTGACCCCCGTATATCCAAAGAGTAACCTCATTTGAAAGCTCACTCACCTCACTCGGCTCAAGGAGAGCTCAGACTGACATTTGGCGGGTATCCTTCTGGGAAAAAGAGAGCAGAAGAAGAAACTGGTAGTAACCCTTACTGTTCTGCAGCTGCTGCAGGTGATCCCCAGGCAAGCAGGGCCTGGAGTGGACCTCAGCAGTCCTACAGCAGAGGGGCCAGACTGTTAGAAGGAAAACTAAGAAACAGAAATAACTTCATTATCAACAAACTGGATGTCCACTCAGAGACCCAATCTGAAAGTCAGCAACTACAAAGACGACAGGTGGATAAATCCACAAAGATGGGAAGAAACCAGTGCAAAAAGGCCGAAAACACCTGAAACCAGAATGCCTCTCCTCCTACAAGGGATCACAACTCCTCATCAGCAAGGGAACAAGTCCTGATGGAGAATGAGTGTGATGAATTGACAGAATCAGGCTTCAGAAGGTGGCTAATAAGAAACTTCTGTGAGCTAAAAGAACATGTTCTAACCCAATGCAAAGAAACTAAGAACCTTGAAAAAAGATTTGATGAAATGCTAACAAGAACAGACAACTTAGAGAGGAATATAAATGAATTGATGGAGCTGAAAAATGCAACACGAGAACTTCGCGAAGCATGCACAAGTATCAACAGCCGAATTGACCAAGCAGAAGAAAGGATATCAGAGGTCGAAGATTAACTCAATGAAATAAAATGAGAAGGCAAGATTAGAGAAAAAAGGGTAAAAAGGAATGAACAAAGTTTCCAAGAAATATGGGACTATGTGAAAAGACCTAATCTACATTTGATAGGTGTACCTGAATGTGACAAAGAGAATGAATCCAAGCTGGAAAATATTCTTCAGGATATTATCAAAGAAAACTTCCCCAACCTAGCAAGGCACAATTTTCAACACCAGGAAATACACAGAACACCACAAAGATATTCCTCAAGAAGAGCAACCCCAAGGCACATAATCGTTAGATTCACCAGGGTTGAAATGAAGGAGAAAATGCTAAGGGCAGCCAGAGAGAAAGGTCGGGTTACCCACAAAGGGAAGCCCATTAGACTCACAGCAAATCTCTCAGCAGAAACCCTACAAGCCAGAAGAGAGTGGGGGCCAATATTCAACATCCTTAAAGAAAAGAACTTTCAACCCAGAATTTCATATCCAGCCAAACTCAGCTTCATAAGTGAAG